CTAGGAGCGGAGGTCCCTGGGACCATCAAGGGAGAAGAGCGGAGAGCGGGACCCTACCCAGAGAAGCAGTGATGTCTGAGATGGAGGCAGAGACGATGATGTGGAGAGATGGTGCTTTTGAGGACTTTAGACACAGAAAGGGAGAGGGGCTGTGTGTTGCTGACAGGGGGCAGGCTTGTAGAGTATACCCTTTGATTGGTTGATGATGCATGGAGGGGATTGTAACCATAGCAATGAAATAATATACAATAGGATGAATGTAAAATTAATGTTCTCCCATGTAAACTATCGCATAATTCACAATAGAACATTAAAAAAAAAACCAAAAACTACAGCCTTCTGTGTGGATTGCACCTCAGTATAAAGAAAACAAAAATACTCACAACTGCACCAGTAAATAACATCATGATAAGTGGAGAAAAGATTCAAATTGTTGAAGACTTCAATTTGCTTGGATCCTCAATCAGTGCTCTTGGAAGCAGCAGTGAAGAGATCGAATGATGAGGCATATCTACTTTACAGGACCTCTTTAAAATGTCCAAGAGCAAAGACACCAGTTTGAGGACTAAGGTGTGCCTGACCTAAGCCATGGTATTTTCAGTAACTTCATACATATGTATGTGAGTGTTGGTCAATGAATAAGGAAGACTGTAGAATTATTGCATTTGCATTATGGTATTAGAGATGAATAATGAAAGTACCACGGACTTCCAAGAGAACAAATAATTTCTGTCTTGGAAGAAGTACAAGCAGAATACTTGTTAGAAGCCAGCATGGTGAGACTCGTCTCTCATACTTTGTCTCTTGTATATTATCAGGAGGGACCAGTCCCTGGAGAAGGACATCATGCTTAGAAAGGAGAGTCTGTGAAAGAGAGGCTTAACACAGTGGTAGCAACAGTGAGCTCAGACATAACAATTGTGAGGATGCAGTGTCTGTCTCACCATGTTTTGTTGTGCGTAGGGTTGCTATGAGTCAGAACCTATTCACCTGAACATCACAACAAAAATCACTTCCAGATTTCTTTTTTCATTCCTTCAGTAAAATATTTCTTTTTTTTTTTAATAAATTTTTATTGTGAATTGAATGAAACTTTACAGGGCGGATCATTTTACATTCAACAAATCATACTCCTTGTTTCATTACAATGATTTTAATCCCCACCATGTACCATCAGATAACAGTATTTCTCTCTATTCATTTTTCATTTTAACCACTCAGGCATATATAATAATTTACAACACCAAAGGGCACATTCTTTAAGTCTGCCTCTTGGCCGATAGCTCTCAGTCCCTCTCTTTCCATGAATCTACAGTCCTCAGCTGCTCCCTCTTACCACGTCCCCATCTCTGCGTCCATCTCTGGTGTCGCTGCTTCTCTGGATAAGGTCTTGCATTTTGCTT